TTAGGTACAAGAAGGAATAAGCAATATGAGTCTTCATTGTCTTCAAAAAAGGTGTATGTTTCCAAACAAAATCAAAAAGTACTGGAAAAAGAACAAGTTAGTTCAGCTGAAATTCTGAAATCAGTACCATAAGAACCAAATCCTTGTGTGAATGATCGGGCAGAGATGGAACATGTCTTGGCTGTTGCTGATACTTCTAAGATAACAGTTACAGAAGCACATGTATCTGCTTCTAAACCTGAAATTCTTATGCTTAACAGGTATGATATTTTATCTGGTTTGGAGGAAAATATTCTGAAGGAGAATGTGGATGTGGATGTGGATAATGATGTTGAAGAAGGGGATGTTGTAATTGGTATGGAGAATACTGTACCAGATATTGGTTTTAAAGAAGTTATGGAGCAAATGTCGGGTTTCGAGTTACCCAGCATGAACCATTCCCTAGACAGTAAAGTGATTGAAAATTCTTCTTCTGGAAAGAAGGTCAAATTACTTAAAGAACTAAAATCCCTTGGCTTGAGTAATATTATAACTCTAATAGAAAGATGGATGCTGGTAAAAATAAAATGAGTGGGGGTCCTACCCCTTGTTTAATTAATGACTTCTTTTGCTTTTTTGAATTGTAGAGGGGCCAAGAAGAGAGAGGCCGCTCTATATCTCAATGATTTTATAAAAGATAATGATTTTTTGTTTGTGGGTCTTGTTGAAACAAAAGTAAGCTTTCTGGGAAATCTTCATATTCTTGGGTTTCTGGGGAATAAATGGAACTCATTTATAGTTCCATCTGATGGCCTTTCTGGAGGTTTTTTGGTTTTATGGAGGAAGGATTTGGATTCATTTTCAGTGGTGGAGGTTTCTTCTCATGTTATCATTGGAAATTTGCATGTTGTTAATAAAGGATGCTGGGTGGTATCTATAGTTTATGGTAGAAGGAATATGCTTGATATGAAATCTTTATGGGATTATTTGGAGAGGTTTTACTTTGATACTAAACCTTTGGTGATTGGTGGAGACTTTAACCGTGTACTATCGCAGGAGGAGAAAAGAGGAGGAAGAAAATTCGTTTTATCTTAAGCTGCTAAGGATATGAAGATGTTTATGAGTAACAACGATTTTCATGAAGTTGGGTTTATTGGATCCAAATTTACTTGGTGCAACAAGAAATCTGAAGGTGCTCGCAGTTTAAGAAGACTGGATAGATGTCTTATAAACTCTGTAGCTATGGGCTCCATTCATCTAGCTATTGCGAAACATTTGTCTCGAATTTCCTCGGATCACTGCCACATTATTTTGGTGATTTTCAAACTGGTGTTGTTTCATAAAAAGAGGAATTCGTTTTGAGGATGTTTGGGCCTCTTATCACGGGGCTTTTGCAATTGTGGAGAAAACTTGGAAGAGGTTTTCATGTAATGATCCAGCTACTTCTTTAAATTTAAAGTTTAAACCGACTTTAAGGGCTTTGTTTTACTGGAGCAAAGCAAAGTTTAAAAGCCTAAATGTGTTGAGAGACTCTTTGAAGAATGAAATTTTTGAACTTCAAATGGAAGAGGTGGATGAACTGTTTATTGAAGAAAAACTGTTATTGTTGCGATGAAAGATTAATGAGCTGAATAGTACTCTTGGTCGGCTTAATATTTGGTGGAAATAGAGAGCTAAGGCTAAGTGGATGGAAAGAAGGAGATTCAAATTCCTCTTTCTTTCATGCATTTGCAAATGCAAGTAGAAGCTCAAATTTGATAAAGCACATCAAGAGTGAAGATGGAGTATTGACAGATAAGCTAACAGTGGTGGAGAAAAATATTTAAGATATTTTTAAATCAAAGTGGATGCATAGAAATTGTGTGATGGAAGGTTGGCCGAGACCTGATTCTTTGATTGAGGAAAGTGATCACTTCAAGTTTGATGCTAAATTTACTGAGGAGGAGCTTCAAGTAGTGCTGGAGAACTTGGGGAAGAACATCTCACCTGGCTTGGATGGGATAACATTTTCTTTTATTAAAGGCTTCTGGAAAGTAATTCATCATGATGTTTGGAATGCTATTAATATATATCTCAAAATAGGGATTATGCATCATACATGGAAGGAAACTTTGATTGTATTAATACAAAAAAATGCAAAATCTAACGACTCCATCAAACTTTCGTCCGATTAGTATATGCAAAACTGCTGTTGAACAGATTGGAGATGGTAATTAATAAGATCATTTCAACTGATCAAGTGGCTTTCATAAAACATAGATCCTTATCAGATCATGTTCTTTTGGCTCAAGAACATGATCTTGGCAAAGAAGGGACTTGTGGCAATTAAAATTGATATGGAACAGGCATATGATAGTATGGGTTGGCTGGCTTTAAGGAAAGTCCTCGTCTACTTTTATTTTTCTAGCAAATTTTTGGATTTATTATTGAATTGTGTTTTGGACCCAAAATTTTGCATTTTGATCAATGGGAAAAAATCTGATTGGATTGAAGCTAAGAGTGGGTTTAGATAAGGGTGTTCTCTATCCCCATTTCATTTTATATTGTGCTCTCAAATTTTATCTGATGCTTTTAATCAAAGTGGAAGGAATATGAATATTCAAATTGCAACTAATGCACCTATAATATTTCATTTGCTTTATGCAGATGATATTCTAATTTTTTCTGAAGCCAACATGAGGAAAATCTGGAAGGTGAAAAATATTTTGAATAAATATTGTAAGTGGCCAGGTCAAAAGGTGAATCACAAAAAATCAATGATTTTATTTGGAAAATCTGTCAACTGGAGGAGGAAGAAATAAAATTGCAAAAGGAATTAAGGTTCATTACTGTTAAAGAATTGTATTACCTTGGTGTAAAGTTAACTTTAAGGAGGATGGTGGGTTCAGATTTCCAGAAGCTTATGAAAGTGGCTTTGAATAAAATAAACATTTGGGGAAAGAATTTTATTTCTTTGGAAGGCAAAATGGTATTGGTGAAATCAGCTTTCTTATCTTTACTAATCTTTTTGTCAACTCTTTCTTTGGTTTCGTTGGGAACCTTAAAGGATTTTGATAAAATATGTAGAGCTTTTTTGTGGAAAAAGAAGAATGGAAATGTGGGAATGCACTATGTCTCTTGGAAAGTGTTATGCAAACCAAAACATAAAGGTGGCAGGGGACTTTTTTTGGTAATGTCTAAAGTGGGGACTCTTCGTGCCAAATTTGCTTGAGATTTCTATATGAATATGGATTCTTTGCTCAATTGTATTTTAAGAGCTAAATATGATATTGATTTATGGAACTATCCGATAAAGAAAGAGAGTTCTTCAACTTGAAAAATATCATGCAATGGTGCTAAATATCTTAGAAAAATTGTAAGATGGAGGATTTATAATGGGAATTCTATTAATTGATTGCATGATTCTTGGATATTGGATAAAAATATCTCTAAATGGCCTATTTTATAAGGAATTTGGAAATCATTAAGTGCAATTTAAACTTCTTTATCTCAAATGGAACCTGGAATAAGGATCATCTTCAAATGTTCTTTGGAATTCAGCTGGTGGAACTAATATTACAAATTACCATCTATATTGATCAAGGGACGGATCAAATAGAACTAAAGTTTAAAGTAGCAGGTAGATCTATTGCAGCATTATCTCAAGAAGCAGTTCAGGAGGACGGTGCAGATTGCGAGCTGTGGAAATAGATGAAGAAAATAAAATTAAGACCACGTGTAGAGCTGTTTTGGTGGAGATTGTACAATGATGCTATTCCAACTAATTCCTTCTTATTATATAGAAGATTGATCAATTACTGTGGATGTCCGAGAGGTTGTTATGAGGATTAAGACAACAACCACATTACTGGAAAGTGTTGAAATTTGCTGAAAGTGATTGCTCTGTTAAACAAATGGGGATTTCAAGTACCTCGGTTTGAAAATTTTGCTGAATGCATAATTGGTTTAGAGAGAGTGTCAGGTAATAATTCTCTCATTGTAAATATTTATTGTACAACAATTTTTCTGGTTTGGAAGAGTAGAAATTTGCTGGTTCATGAAGGAAAGGAAGAATCTAATGTATATATTGCGGCAAACACGGTGACTATGGATGCTGTTTCATCGGTTATCAATATCTATTCGGACAACTGGGATGTCAACCAATGTAAGCTGTCTTCTTCTTGGCATCCTCCTCCACCCGGATGGATAAAGATCAATATTGATACTTCTCTAAGTAGTAACAATAAGTCTGGTATTGGCGGACTGTTTAGGGATGATAAAGACAGGTTCTTACTTACTTTTGGTGTCCAATACTTGCACTGGGACATTGCCCAGTTGGAACTTCTAGCGGTTTACACTTTAAAGAATGTCATACAGGATTGGATGTTGGAAGCACAAGGTGTAATTATTGAAGGGGATAACTTTAATATATCAATATTCTTCAACAAGCTTTGAAGAGATTGAAGAATAAAGAAATAATTGAAGATGATTGAGCTTTCATCCAAGAGTTTAATCAAGTTTCTTTCAATTTTACTACTAGAGGATGTAATAAATTAGCATATTGTTGTGCTAATTTTGCTTTGGGTAAAAGTTTTATTTGGAATGATCTTAGTGATGTAGAAATTCCTCCTTCATTCTTGTTTATTATGAAGGAGGAATTTGAATCTTTTAGCTTTGCTTTGAGTAGTTTGTAATAACTTTTTTATTCTAATGCAATGTTGCATTTTCCTTCAAAAAAAGATAAATAATACTTACAGTAAAACTTTATTTCACTTGTTTAATATCAATTGTTTATTTATAATTAACTGATGTTATTGATTTAATGCATACCCGGTAGTCAGTGATAATAATAATTTTATTATATTCAAAACACTTAAAAATTAGTTTGAATATTTTGAAATATAGTTTAATTTATTTTTAAAATAAGAAATAAAATAGTAAAAAAAAAATCATAAATAAGAAGATTTAAAAATAAATAAATAAATAAAAGTCGTTCCAAACAGCGCCTGCACGAATGTTCCATTTTTAGGAGTGCAGTTTGGCCAGTACGAAACGGCTGCAGTTCACATGAAAAGAGATCTTGACGGCATCGCTCTTGTCCACTCGGATCCTTCCCCGTCCACAGATCACGCCGCCCAAAGTCAATTCCACAGCCAGATCTCATTCGTTCATCGCTCTCCTTGATAGATCAAGTTTCATCGACGAAATACTTGCTTCCGTCGATTTAGTTGACCAATTCTTTTCTCTCCCTACGGCTATGGAGCAGGTTTTCTTTCTCTTCCTTAATCAATTCAGATTAAGCCTGTGCCGATACCAAGGAGCATAGAGATGGGAACTCCGTTCTTCCATGAGTTCAAGAAGCAGGCTTCTTTTTATCTCAGAGAAAAGATCAAGCACGCTCGCTTAGCTCTCACTGATGTCACTCCAGTAGAACTGTGAGTCCCCTTTTCTATATTTTAGTTTCTTTGAATATTGTATTTTGATGATTCTCACCTTGTAGGCTGACTGAGGACGCAACCAGTGGGAATCCATGGGCGCCGGATGCGAAGACGATGAGCTTTATATCAAGAGCTGCTTTTGAGATTGATGATTTCTGGAGAATCGTTCAGATTCTACACAAAAGGTTTGTAACTTTTTTCTTCTTTTTATGCGAATTCCGCGCTGGATCCATCTCCCCGTTGCGGATATTTATATTTAGAATTAGCTTTGGTATTTTTTTTAAGGTTCTTGAGGTTGATAATGCTGATTTTTATCTGGAATCACCTTTGCTCTTCTATCTGAGAGATTTTTGAAGTTTATATTTTACGGATCAGGCTTGCAAAGTTTGATAGAAAGTACTGGAGAGAACCCTACAATGCTCTCGTAATTCTTGAGCATCTTCTAACTCATGGACCAGAGAGCGTTGCAGATGAGTTCCTGTGTGATAAAGATGTCATAAATGAATTGGGCAATTTCCAGCATATCGATGAGAGAGGGTGAGAAGCATAAAACCTAAGTTTTTAAGTTCATATCCTTATCTTTTCTTAGATTTGGCAGAGTAAGAGGTCTTTTCGTAGGTTTAATTGGGGATTTGCTGTAAAGATGAAATCAGAGAGGGTATTAAAGTTGCTTGAGAAAGGACCAGTGCTGAGAGAAGAGAGGGATCGAGCTCGAAAGGTTACAAGAGGCATACAAGGCTTTGGAAGCTTCAATCAGAGATGGTCATCACATGGCACCATGGATGGAGTTAATCATTCTTCTGATTACTTTGGAAGATGGAATTCTCATTACGAAGGATATGGCCAACAGGATCATGAAGATCGTGGTTCTAATTCTGATTCTGAGGCTGGTTATCAGAAGAACAAGGTTATTCTTCCTGGTGAAAGATCCATGAATGGAGAAATTACTCCTAACAACCATGAAAGATCAGGGGGAGAAAGGACGAGTCTTGATGATGAGGACAAAAGCAAGGGGTTTCTTCCTGAAAAATCGAAGCTAAAAATTGAGTTACAGAATGAAGAGCATCCTTTTAATAGCCATGAGCATCAGAGAATGGAATCAGTGCTCCTTTTGAGACAATCATGAGAAACAACGGTTATTTGATAGGTTGGTTTATATACACAGGTAAAATTTTTAAGTAGTTATATATCTAAAATTTAAATCTTTATAATTATTTATATAAAAACTTATATCTTAATCACATCAAAATATACATATGGAAAGATGTATTTCATTTAAACAGATTAATATTAGTAATTTTTTTAATGTGATTTAGAGATTCGGATTTTATATAATTGATATATATATATATATATATATAAACCTCTGTTTTAATATCTTTAATATATATACAAATCCTCTTTTTTAATATCTGAAACTTTTTCAGTTAGGTGGCTTAAAGAAGGTTGCTCCACTTTCTCAGTGAAGGAAACTATTACCAAACCAAGGCATGAAAGCATTGGAAAATGCAGAACAAACCTAGGTTTTTGTCCTTACTTTCTGGTTTATTTTTGTTTCTGGTTTATAATCTCGATAGCAAGTGAATTATAAGGATGTTGGTGCTGATTCTATGTATATTTCTTCTGATGCAATACCAAATACCAGTTCTGTATTGTTGGTCATCTGTACTGCTTGGTTTCATGGAGTTTGTTACTGAGCATTTAAAAATTCCCGAGGGTATGCATTTAAGGAAAAAGTTTACATGTGTTCAGTGCTTGGAAAACATTGTCACTTTTTCCTTTCTTTACGGGATCTGCAAAACCTTACCACTCTTTCCTTTCTTTGCTGGATTTGAATATAGCAATAGCTATAGATGTGAATAATAAAGAGCTTGATACACAAAATTCATGTCTCAAGAATATTGTAGAGATCTTCATTCATAACTCTTAGTATTTGGTCTAGTTATAGTTAAATTGTTTGTTTCCTGTAACGGTTCTTGTTTGTGACATCTTTGCCTTCTTGTGTAGCCTTGTATTAGTTTCTTTTGTTTTTTAGTATATAAACAAATGTACAAGCTCCAATAAGTTTTGACTCAAAAATAAGATTTTGATGTAGAATTGGGGGGGATCTCAGATTTCACTTAATTAATTGATTTGAATTTGAAATTCAAACAAGAAAGAAGGGAGGGAAGAGAGGAATTAACTATATCCTTAATTGGAGTCTTTAATTAGGAAGGAATCCATTAAAGTAGGGGAGAGAGAGGGGCTGTCTAAATGAGAGGGAAGGAGGAGGTGTCTAGGTTTAATGAATGTGAATCAAGCATTAATTGGTATTGGAAATTAAATCTGAAATTAATTTTAGATTGTGAGTAATTGGAAGGTTTCCTAAAGTAAAACTTATTAAATAGGAAAGTTTTTAAAATTCAAAATTTCTTTGAATTCAAAATAAATAACTTTCCAAATTAACAAATAACTAATTTAAGAAAGACTCAATTCAATTAAAATTGAAATTTGAATTTGAAATCTGTCCAAATTGAAATACACCACATATGGAAAGGGATTAATTTAGGGATTTGAAGATTTGGAGGCAAAGAGAGGCACTACGGCCGTCGGTCAAGTGTGGGCTAGGGTTTGATAGTGGGCTAGGGTTTGGAAGACGGAAGCTTGGCCGGCATCTATGGAGGGGGTATGGCCAGCAGTTAAGGGAGAAGGAGAAAAGGATTTCAGGGAAAGATAGATAAAACCATGAGACCGGACGGTTCCTGCGGCTTATGGATAATACGTTGCCCTTGACGAAGGGACTTCAAGCCACGAACTCGGACCCATCCTGTAGCTAGTGGATACTACTTTTCCCTCCCATAGGGATCTCACTAAAGTCTTCCCAAGGAACAAAAGTGCAGAACAATTTTTTTATTAAAAATCCTTCATTCCAATACAATAGCAAGAGCCTCTATATATAGGCCTTAAAACAAAGTAAAAGGCAATTTTGCCTCTTAGGCTTACATAGGACAAAATTCTTAAGGGTAAAATTGAAAATTGCATAATTAAATCAAAAATATTATTAATAAACTAAGATAAAAATGAGGGTCTCAGCCGTGGATATTCGTCTCTTCCTTTGATTAATGTCTACCATCAGATGTCCGCATCACTTCCGGTGTAGAAAAGAGTTAGACTCCATTGAGTTCGCATCCCAGGTGCGCAACCATGCTTTGATACCAAACTGATGTAGAACAGGGGGGGGGGGGTATTTGAATTTGAAATTCAAACAAAAAAAGAAGGGAGGGAAAGAGGAATTAATTATTATTTCCCTTAATCAATGTATTTGAATTTGAAATTCAAACAAAAAAAGAAGGGAGGGAAAGAGGAATTAATTATCTCCTCAATTGGGGCCTTTTAATTAGGAAGGAAACCATTCAAGTAGGGGAGAGAGAGGGGCTGGCCAAATGAGAGGGAAGGAGGAGGTGTCTAGGTTCAATGAATGTGATCAAGCATTAATTGGGATTGAAAATTAAATATGAAATTAATTTTAGTTTAGGAGTAATTGGAGGGATTTATTAAAGTAGAACTTATTAAATAGAAAAGTTTTTGAAATTCAAAATTTATTTGAATTCAAATTGAATAACTTTCCAAATTAACAAATAGTTAATTTAGGGAAGACTCTCGATTCAATTAAAATTGCAATTTGAATTTGAAATCTGTCCAAATTGAAATACACCACATATGGAATGGGATTAATTTGGGGATTTGAAGATTTGGAGGCAAAGAGAGGCACTACGGCTGGTGGTCAAGTGTGGGCTAGGGTTTGATAGTGGCGGCTAGGAGGAAAAGAAAGGTTTTGGGAGGTTATGGTAGGGATGAAATGATCCTTGAGGCTTGTGCTGGTTGGACTTATGGCAGGCAGGTGGAGGAGAAAGAAGGGGTGGTGGTGTTCGGTTTAGAGAGTGGGAGGAGGGAGGAGGGAAGCTTGGCCGGCTGCTTTGGAGAGGGTATGGCCGGAGTTCAAGGGAGAAGGAGAAAAGGAGTTCAGGGAAAGAAAGATAAAACCGTGAGCTCGGACCCATCCTGCAACTGGTGGATACTACGATTCCCTCCCATAGGGATCTCACTAAAGTCCTCCCCAAGGAATAAAAGTGCAGGAGAATTTTTGTATTAAAACTTCATCATCCCAATATAATAGTAAAGGCCTCTATATATAGGCCTTAAAAGAAACTAAAAGACAACTTTTCCCCTATGGTTTACATATGACAAGACCTTTAAGTAAGGGTAAAAATAAAAAATGTATGATTAAATAAAAAATACAATTAAAAAACTAAGTTAAAAATGGAGGTATCTAGGCCGTCGATCTTCGTCTCTTCCTTCGATTAACGTCCACCATCGGATGTCCATATCAGATTTAGTTCTTATTTCTTCCAAAAAATTTTAGTGCTCTCCCTGCTCTCTCTCTCTCTCTCTCTTCTACGATGTAGCCATTCAAGAAGCTTATTTTCCTCCAAGAATTCACAAGAATTGGTATCAGAGTTTGATGGAGGTGATCAAAGGAAAGGAGGAAGGTCCCTTGTAATCATGAATAGGAGCGGAAGCAAGCAAGACCGAGCTGAAAGGAAGGTCGCTTGAGAGGGTTTTGGCCTGAAGAGAAAATTGCAAGTTGCTTGTGATTCTAGGTGAAACTGAGAGCTCTAAGCTCCATGCGATCTAGCATAACCAAAAGAAGGGAGAACTAAAAAGGTTGAGTTGAAGGATTCGATCCTAAGTAGAATGTAGATAGTTAATAATTCATCTTCTTTCGTTATTTCTATTTTCGACAAGATCAGAGAGTGTTGTGTGCGAATTAGGGAGGTTGTGTCAGACATTGCGAGTCGGATTGGGCTTGGGTCGGAGCACGAGGAGTGGTAGGCATGCGAGATATGGGCTAATGGGCTCGAGTCATGCACGCAGGAGTGCAAGCCGGTGGACGATAATGCTCACATATGAAGACCAATTGTGGGATGCAACCAAGAAAGCCAGGAAGCTCTTGGTTCGAGCAAGCTGCAGGAGACCTGCTAGCTCTTGATCCAACAGGTGGTGGTTGTCGGACTGGGTGAAGGAGAACAAAAGATGTGGTCCAGACAAGGTTCTCTTCTCTCAGTCCAGGCAAATAATGATTTCTATATCTGAGATGCAACTGTAAAGGGGCCTAGATGAAGGGCAAGAAGCTGTTGTTGTTGTTGGAGAAGAAGACACTATGTTGCTGCTATTTGTAAAATAAAACAACAAGGTAGATTCATGAAACATCTCTATCTCCAAGAATTCTCGACAAGTGGTGGAAAGATAGTGACCAGCGGTGAAGCATTTTTCTTGGTTGTTCTTTGTAGACAATAGGTAAAGAAGAACAACAATTGGGTTTCTGAGATGATTTCAATGAACCATAGATATTCATTGCAAACACCAGGTGGAGTAGAAGCATCTACTGCTCCAAATAATGTTGATACAAAGATTTGATATCGACAAATTCATTGATGAAAATGATTTTAGCCTATGGAAGATCAAGATAAAAGCATTGTTGGCGCATCAAGGGCTTTCGACATCTTAGCTGAATGTATTGCAGAGGTGACAGGTTGGGTGAAAGATAGGGAAATGCAGCTGTTGACCTATGGCGTGATCCTTCTCTCACTCGGTGATGAAGTTATGAGAGAGGTGACTGAAAAAGAATCAACTATAGAGGTTTGGGAAAAACTTGAATCTCTATATTTGAAAATGTCTCTTACAAATAGACTTTTCTTGAAAAAATAATTGTACACTCTTCAAATGGAAGAGTCGAAAGATCTCAGGAAACACTTGGATGAGATCAATTAGACTATTATTGATCATAAGAATGTATGTGGGATTGAAGAAGAAGATCAAAGTATAGTTTTTCTTAGCTCGTTGCCAAAATCTTATGCACATATAGCGGATACGATGCTATATGGAAAGTAGACCTTGACAAGAGGAATTGCCCATATAGAATGAAATGACAACGAGATGGGCTCAAAGAAGACGCAAACACAACAATGGAAGTAAATTCAGAAGGATGGGATTTAGCATATGTGTTGGTTGCATCGGCAACACATTCAAGAGATGAATGGATATAGATTCAATGCTATAGTGAGAGTCACCATTTTTCTATTAATTAATTGTAAAATTGGATCAAAATGGAGATTGTTAGTATTTGGTCCAGTTTTTATTACATTGTTTGTTTCCTTTAACGATACTTGTTTGCGAATTCTTTGCTTTCTAGTGTAGCCTTGTATTAGCTACAAGGTTAGTTTCTTTTATTTTTTAGTATATAAACAAATGTACAGGTTGTTGTACCTTTTGACTCAAAAATAAGATTTAGTTTTGTTTTCTTCCAAAATCTGTGAGTGCTCTCCCTTTTCCCTCTCTCTTGTGGTGCAGCCATTCAATGAGCTTTTCTTCCTCCAAGAATTCATAACAATAACATTTTTAGTTTAGCCTTTTATTCTTACAGTATAGATGTTCTTGCATTCCTAGTGCTGAACATACGAAAAATTTTCTACCACTTGCTTCTTCTCAATTCAACTGTTATGTTATCTAAGTATTAGAGAGGTGATTCGCTGGTTCTGAGAAGGAACATCTGCTACAAATTAAAACATCGCAATGCATGCATCAAAAATCATAAAAGCAACACCCGATCGTTTAGATCTTCTCACATGTCAACATCACCAAGTTAATATTGATGATGAGACCTTTCTGACACTTGTAAGACCCATGCTTTTGTGCTTCAACAAGAGCAACAAGCTGACACGGTTTGCAAGCGTAGTTGAATGAGTGTTCATTAAAACAGAAGTACATCAATGAATT